GCACTTTTTCAAGAGGCAACTGGACTTTCTGAGCTGAAGAAGCTTCTTGGATGAGAAGTGATATGTCTTCAAAGAAAAACCAGGAAGTCCAGTTACCTCTTGAAAATTCACCTTTACAACGCCAAACTATAGATAAAGGAGAATATTTGTAGGTCAGGGTTGAAATGGGGTTCCTTCCAATCTGAGCTTGATTGTTTTCTTGCAGACATTTCATGATCCAACTAAGTGATATCATTAGCACAGGAGGAGAAGGAGGAGGAGGAGGACTGTGGTTTTCTCTGGTTTGTTGTTTTCTTCAGATGTTTCATTACCCAAACTAGGTAACTTCAGCTTACCAGTACCACATATAGGCATCATATGCTTCAGAAAGCACGAAAATGTAAGGACTAGCACTGATGATGTTACCTAGTTTGGGTAATGAAATGTCTGCCAGAAAACAACCAAACTCAGAGAGCACTAAGAACTCTGCCCACCAAACTAAAATATGTTTCATGTTGCTTTAACAAGTCTGAGAATCCATATGATCCCATATTCCAACTATTATTGAATAAAATATACTTAGTGCATTCTCCCATTACCCTGTGAGATTCAAGAATGCCCTACCAGGGAACTCCCTTCTCCTACCCAAGAAGGACAGCCTCCAACTAACACTGCTTAGAATCTTCATACACTTGATAATTAATTAGCTTTTTCTATTTTCACAAATTGCTCATTACTTTAGTGGTATGATCAGATCCCACTGCTGGCTGATTACAGCCGTGCTTCACTCATACAACTCAAAGGAAAGGGTTTTCCATAAAATCCACTCACACACCTAACTTCCAGCTGTAGAAGGAAATATAGATGCATGTTTGATCCAGGCAAATGGGAGAGGGATGCTTTAGCTCAAGGAATGTCCTTCTTCCTAAAATGCAAACCTTTGGATTACCAACAGTGCCACCAAAATAAATACATGATACATTGCTGGGAAATTTATTGATCCTTTTGTCTTCCCAAGAAAAGAGTCAGTGCAGCAGTTTAATTAGAAAATAAAGTGTTTATTAAGAAACTAGACATAAAGACCTCTAGAGTCTCTGTGAAAGGGGAAATTCCCATTTTCATAGCACAAGATGATGAACATGGAGAGAAGGGAGAAATGATTTGGAATGAGGGGTTCTTATTCAATAATGAGGTAATGATTACAATAATTAAAATTGAAAACCATATCTCTCTCTCTCTCTCTCTCTCTCTCTCTCTCTCTCTCTCTCTCTCTTTCTCTTCTTAAGGCTCACAACTTAAAGTCTCCAATTTTGATGGCCCAAGGCTTGTGTTCTTCATTCATTTCACCCCTTTTTAAAATATATTAATTCCTTCAAATAAAGGAATTAACACCTGCTCCTCAGTTTTCCAGGCTCCTTCTCCCCAATACTTTGCCCTAAGAAAATGATTTAAATACACACAATAGCGGGCTATACATAAAATAAAACAAGATACAATTGTGTGAATAGGCTACTTTGGAGGTGGGTTGAACTTAACATGACACACAATAAAAAAAACCTTTTTGAAATGTAGGAGCAAAGTGTGCTTCCAGTTTTTATTCAGAAGAAAAAGTAGGGCATATCTATTAAAAGTTTGGAAATTAACATGTTAATTTCCAACCTACCCTGCTTTGACAAAAGCAAACCTATAGTGATGTTACAATTTTGGTTTTCAGTTCTTATTTAAATGATTTGCTGTTTCAAGCTTAAGGATCGGGTGAATTCATGTGGCTTTTTCCACATTGTTAAAGCTATCCGTGGTTTTTGCACTTGCCTTGATTATTTGAGAAAACCAGCAAGAAAATAAATAAAGTGATACGTTTTATAAATAAACCTCTTCTGCAATTTGCAGAAAAAGACATTTCAGCCATTTTTAGGAATTTTTGTGAAAGAAAACCCCGTAAAAACAAAATGCCTCTGCAGTACGCCTAACTCTGAAAGATTTTCTGTGCTTCAGTCTTCATTCATCTTACCCCAAGAGAGTAATTGATCAAGATAAGCAATTTTGGAAGCTCTATAGTGCTGCAGAAACATTTGGCAAATTTGATAGCTCAAATAATTCTCTGCAACAAGCTAAAAATCTAAACAAATATTTTTGGTCCAGCCTGTCTAACCACTTGTCCTTAATAACAGTTTCACACAGTTTTCGGAGTGGGAATATTTGTAATTTGGAGAGGATGCCGTGGGATATTTTAAAAAATGGCTGTCCCTGGGAACTTTCTTATTCCTAAATTATGAGCATGGCAGTCACTCAACATCAATTCATCAAAAGACAAAGTTGTACGGTTGCTTCCAATCACAGTCCTTAATCTTTACCCCAAGCTGTTCCCTATTCCTTCCTCGGAGATAGGTATTTTTTTCCAAATAAAATTTAGCTTCGACAATAAACCATTTTTACTTCTAAGATGGTTATTAGGCTCAGAGGATCTGGAAGCAGATAAACATTTTGCTGGAGTCTTAATGCTTAATTTTACAGCATACAGGTAGTCCTCAACTTATGACCACAATTAAGCCCAAAATGTCTGCTGTTAAACAAGACAGATGTTAAGGAAACTTTGCCCCATTTTACAACCTTTCTTGCCACAGTTCTTAAGTGAATCACTGCAGTCGTTAAGTTAGTAACATGGGCATTAAGTGAATCTGGCTTCCCCATTGACTTTGCTTGTCAGAAGATCACAAAAGGAGATCACATAACCCTGGGACACTGCAACCGTCATAAAATATGAACCAGTTGCCAATCATCCAAATTTCAATCATGTGGCCATGGGGATGCTGCAAAGATTATAAGTGTGAAAATGGTCATAAGTCACTTTTTCAGTGTCATTGCAACTTTGAAGAGCCACTAGATGAACTGTTGTAAATCAAGGACTACCTGTACTAGATTCACCTTTATTTTCAATGAAATAATAATGAAAATAGTGATATAAATAGTGTGGGGTAAGGGAGTCGGGAGCACCAAGAGAGTTGCCTTAGAATGCATTAGTGTCCATAGGAAACATATTTGCTATTCCATGTTTTGCATTTGTAGGTATATTCCTATATAGTGGGTGGAAGCTTATTAAGGAGAGATCCAGAAGGACACATTTTCTGACAGTGAGAACAATTCATCATTAGAACACCTTGCCTCCTGGAGTTGTGAATGCTCCGTCTCTGGAGGTTTTCAAAAATAGACTGGATCACCATTTGACTAGGATGATATAAGGCCTCCTGCCTTGAGCAAGGGGTTGGACTAGAATACCTCCGAGATCCCTTCTAGCCCTGTGATTTTATGTTCCACATTTTATTACTACATTTGACTAAGACTCTAAAGAAGGTTATCTAATATTGATCATTCCATTTTTTTTCCATCAGAAAATGGGGGAAAAAATCCCCAACAGATATTTCTCTCAAGGGCCAACATTCTTCCTGCTCCCATTGGAGAAGACAGAGAGAGAGAGAGAGGGAGGGAGGGAATGGGAGAGAGAGAGAGAGAGAGAGGGGGAGAGAGAGAGAGAGAGAGAGAGAGAGAGAGAGAGAGAGAGATCTGAGTCTAGAATCAATATTTGTATCAACGCCAGAGACAAGACTCTTATTCCAATCTCCTTTTGCTTAGTTTGTATGCCTTGAGCCAACCATACATTCAGGGTGCATGACAGAATTATAATACATCTCTAACTTGGTGAGAAATTAATGGAAAGTGATGGAAGAGGAGGAAAAATGAGCCAGGAAGGCAGGAAAAAAAAATGGCTGGTTTGCAGATCGGAGATAAATAAAATAAATTTTTTAAAAAAACTTGTGGATTTCTTCTACATTTTTTTGTCCCTACACTTGTTGAGATCTGCAACACCGCTCCTCATCCATCCAAGGTGTGAAGTCCAGGAGCAATTTACCTCCCCACCACCTCACAAACACATACACACACCCGTGCACACACTTGCACACACACACATACACACAACTCCCATCCCCAGAGATAAAGCCATTATACAAGCAGGAGGGAAGGGGCTGGTGTACAAAAACGGAACACTGAGATAGCCGAAGAGCAGGTCGAATGCATGAAAGGCACATACACTCACACGCACGCACACAAACAGAAGATCCTTCTACAAAAAAACATTTTTTTTTTGTATTCAAAACAAAGCCACCAATATCATCTTCTTTTTTTTTTTTGAGGGTAAGCATAGTAGCCCAGGTTTTTTTCCCCTTGATTGCTTTCCATATAGGTTCTGGTACAATAGCTTTATGACTAGATGGGATATAAGGACAGGGGTGAAGAATTGGGAGCGTTAGAGGCTGCCTTCATTTTATTTTTTTCTTACCAAGGGTCTTCACTCGGTTAAAATATCTTCTGAAGCCTCGTCTCTTCTTGCTTTGGAGTATTCTCCCATAACCTTAGATTACTTGCAAGTGAGAGAGAATGGGTGGTCTTAATTGAAGGTTGCGATGTTGCAAGGATTCCAAGGCAGAAAAGAGCACCACTAAAATTGCTGGACTCGGATCAGTTGCTTGGGTCTTGTTTATTTATATGTAAAGAAAAAATAAAATATAAAGCAAAGTGCAACTGTTGTGTGACGCATCCTTTGAGAACATCTTTATCTCTCCCTCCCCCTTAAACAAAAACAACAACAAAATATAATTTTCTCCTGTTATGCCTTGTAGCAACATGGTGACCGTTGGAGGGAAAAAAGAACGCAAGGACCAACAGAAGAGGACAACATTCCTTTGATCTGGTGGCAGGAGGAAAAAAAAAAACAAAGTACACCCCTTTGTTGTTGTTGTTGTTGTTGTTTTCAGCAGGATGCAGACTGAGGTCCAATCCCACCCAGTGGTGGCTTTGATCTGTGTACAGACCATGCTTTTGTGAAGTGTCCCAAATCTCTCAAAGGGCACAACCAACAAACTTGACATTGAAACAAGGAATCTTTTGAGGAGGTGGTTTTCTTTTTTTCTTTTTGATTTCACTTTTTTTTGTCTTTCACCTTTTTTTGTTTTTGCACGGTTGATTGTGTGTGAGTTTTTTGTTTTTTGCTCTTTTTAAAAGCCATGACGTCCTTTGCTGAAATAAACACTGACATCTTCAACATAAATGCCATGATGGTTAAGAGGATTAGAATGTCCAGGAAGGGTTATTGGATTCAACATAATTTCTCTGAAACCTAAAAGGCAGGGTGGGGGGAAATGGGGGTTTGGGGGGAGGAAGGAAACAAAACAAAAGAGAACAAAAAAAAGCAGAAGAGATAATAAAGAGTGGGAGGAAGGAAAAAAATAATCTTCTTATCACAAAACAAATATTCAGACTAGGAAGGAATAGAGAAGTAGCGACATACATATAATTATCTGGAAAACAAACTAAAGCAGAATAAACCATCAGACTGTCTGCAGAAGGGTTATATTCATGCAATGTATAAGCTGGTATATTTTTGTTTTAGACATAAATCAAAGATATCAAATTAAATATAATTTTAGATATAAAATCCACCCTGTTCAAGATCTGACGTGTTATGGAATTTCTGTTGTTGCTGTTCTTAAAGGAAACTTCACTTGCATAGAATTAATTTTTTTTCACTTATTTATTTGTAAAATTAATTGGCTGCCCATCTTACAATACGGTAACTCTGGAGGGCCTACAATATTAAAGAATTAAAGCAATTTCCTTCCTTCATTGTTCACTTCTCTTCTGGGTTAGTGAAAGCTCATATAATATAGTGACAAATAAGTTGCAAGATGAAGAGAATTGGGTTTGAATTTCATCTCTACTATGATTTCACTTAATTTGGTTTGACTTCTCCAGTGAAGACTCAAGTGAGGCAGGGGTAACAAATAAATTTATGGAACTTTCTCTTGAGAAAAATCTACCAAGGCTTTGATACGCCCCACTGCTTTTTAGTAGCATGAGCTCAGAACAAGATGGAATTTGTTTATTGGCCTCAGTAACAGCAAGAGTGGTGGATATGGCTAGGATGACTTTCCCTCACTTTGGAAAATAGTTCATTCAGATGGGAATGAATCAACTATAGGAAGCAAGCCCCTTGATGGATTTCATTCCTTGCCTTCTCTTCACCCCCCAGATTGTTTCCAGAAAAAAAAGAAACAGAGACAGCAGACAAGCAGCAAACAGAATTGGAGGTACAATTATCAGCATTGGTAATTATGAGCCTTGGTGGTGCAGTGGTTAAAGTGCTGACTGTTGCCTCTCTGCAATTTGGCAGTTCAAATCCCACCAAGCTCAAATTTAACTCAGCCTTCCATCCTTCCGAGGTGGATAAAATGAGGACCCAAATTGTTGGGGGCAACAGGCTGACTCTGTAAACCACTTAGAGAGGCTGTAAAGCACTGTAAAGTGGTATATAAGTCTAAGTGCTATTGCTATTGGTCTGGCTATCTTTGAGACCATAAGAATTTAGACTCTCATGAATGAAGGCAAATATACATGTCCCAGGATAATGTTGCAGGATCCAATCTGGGTTGGTTACAGGGAAAAGAGATTTAGTCTTTCGAGCTTTTGGACTCGTGCTAGAACCCATTCTCAGGGAACTTCTCTCTCACCAAAATTTAGGAAATATGGAGAATGCAGAGAATTTAGACTCTCTGCAACAAGTGGCAAATTAGGAGGAACCAGAACTTCAGAGACAGTGCTCAATAAACATCTTGGTTCCACATTACACAGATGCTCTGCTTTATTGATCTGTAACCTACTGAAAGAGTTCCCAGACCTCTTGGGCCTGGATGAATTTAAACCACACAAGAGAAGAGAAAAGAAGGAAACAACCTTATTTAGTTTATTTTTTAGACAGGATTTTTAAAAACCCTGCAAAATACTGCTTAATTGTAAAAAAACCTATTCAACTGCAATATTCCCTGTGATGTTCTAAGGGAAGTAGAAATGTCCTCCACTTTGGTAAAATTATATAGGATATTTCAAATTATTTCTAATTCCCAAGAATAAATTGTGTGCACGAGTATCAATTTTGCAAGAGATAGCTGACTATTTATAGCCTTGTCTGTTCTGTACAGAAGGCAGAGTAGAAAACAGCAATTTAAGCCCACCAGAGTTTTAATAGAGATTATTTTTCAGTTCTTGGTTTGCAGGACTGGACATAAGACATTGCTTGCTACTTTTCTGTTTTCATGAAGAGTTTTATTTTCAATCTCCTGCTTGGTGCTAGCCTAGATTTCTAAGTTGTCTGAAGCAGAAAATTATTGCTTGCATTAGACTTCTAGAAAACAGATGGAAGGCCACAACTGTGAATTTGGAGACTAACATTTATTCAGAAGAGGCTCAAGGTAGGGATTTTTTTTGTCAGGTACTTGCAGCTTATAACTCATATTTTTAACCACCACGATACATCAGCTTTCAACATTCTACCAAACTGATATCAATCTGATTTGTCTTCTTCAATCTTGGGTGTTCTTGTTCTGTCTAAATTGATAGAGTGCCTACTTCCTAAAGATTATTTAAGATCTTTTGGGATATATCCAATTTGTAACTCATTCTGAGTAGCATTTATGTACTATAACGGTTTATCTGCTGTTCCTTTGGGAACTGACTATTTTTTGGTCTGTACTGAATTTTGGAAATCTGTATGTTTCAGCACTTAGGAAGAAACATAAAATGGCCATAAAATATGTACAAGTTCAAAGCACTTGAATTGGTTACCTAAATGAAAGTATGTTTCCTATATTATATTGTAATACAATATTGTTGTAATATTCTCCATCGTATAAAACTCTTTTCAGCTGGTGAATATTAGGAAGAGATCCTTGCCAGTATTTTCCCTTGGAATTTAACAGAAGCACGAGAAACAAGGCAAATGGCAGAGATCTCTGAAAAAATAATATATATATATATAGCTCTTGTTCAAACAAGAATAGTATGGGCTCAAATGCAGCTGAAAAAGTCATGAAAAAACACCACTCTTAAGAATTTCTTAGTTATCATCTTCTCATCATTTTAAATAACAGAAGCCAATATTTTCTCACCAATCTCAGCAAGAACTGGGGGAAAATGTAGGGTAAAGGTTTTATATGGCAATAGACTGTATCAATCTTTGAAAAGAGTGAATTATAATTCCTCCTAAAATTATTATTTATCAAATTTATTGGCCACACTTCTTACCATAGGGTAACTCTAGCTAAGAGTGAAGTTGGTAGACACCTCCGTGTCACAATCAGTCTCATTAAAGTCTCAGGGAAACATTTGTCAACAATCCTTCAACTCACGGGGCCACCTGCCCTTTGTCACTGGAAGCTGCAGAATCTATTAGTAGAGCATTTTCACAAGTCTTCAGTCTCTCTTTCTCTTTTGCATCATTAATAGATGCAGAAGGCATAAAGAACAGCTTGCAAATTCAAAAGGAGGCTGCAGATATATAAGCACACTGACCTGATTCATTCTTTATGGAAGCGACACTAGAGTTATAATTATTCCTTCATAATGTTGCTCTCCTGTAACAATGACATTATTTACTCACCTCCAACAAACTAAAATATTACAAAAGTCCTTGTTTTAACTATTAACGTGTGATTTAGGGCATTCTAAAATGCTGCAGGTCAATATGGAAATGAGTCGGCTTCCTTCAAACTTCTTTGCTCTGGATAAATTGGTTTACAACTCCCAAAATTTGTACTGAGCAGAAATGAATGTTGACAATATTGGTAAAAGTTACCTGAAAAACAGTGGATTGAGCAATCACTAGAATACCTCTAGCCTGAAATTGACACTAGTAATTAATCACACTGACTAGAGTCAACCTGAATGACCTCAAGATGCATGCATTTTAACACTCGGAATTCTCAGCAATTGTGTAAGTCTGCATTTCTCCCAAGGTTAGCTAAATAAAATCTTCAGGTGTAAAATATATCTTTAAATGTCATATCTAACAAAATAATCAAAACTTTCCTTGATATTCTACATACTACATTTTCCAGTTATTCCATTTTGGAAACAGAAGGCTGAATTATATGGAAGATATTAATGATTCAGTCTCTCCATTTTGCTTTTAGATCTAGAAATGATTTTCAAATGTATGCCTGGATTAAGGTATTCAAAGACTATTTGGATGTCACTTGTGAAAATGCTCTTGAATATTTTCCTATATATTTGCTGCTTATCCTAAACCCCAAGTTTATCTCATATGGATCAGAAACCAGGATGGTGTTTGCTTGGAGGTATTTCATATATATATGTATTGGTCTATGTCTACCTATATATTTAAGTGACATAAACAATGTCAGGAGAAACCTGGCATATGGTATTAGTAAATCTCAAAAGGCTTTGGAATATGGATTGCATCTGGATGAATATTGCCTCTTTACTACCAGGTATTTACTACTACTATTACAGGTAGTCCTCGACTTACAAACACAATGGGGCCCAGAGTTTCTGTTGCGAAGCAAGGCAGTTGTTCAATGAGCTGTGCCCAATTTTACTACCTTCCTTGCCATGCTTGTAATTGCATCACTGCAATTGTTAATTGAATCATGAGGTTGTTAAACAAATATGGCTTCCCCATTGACTTTGCTTGTTGGAAGTTGGCTAGGAAAGTTGCAAATCCTGGCAATCCTATGACCCTAGGTGTTATGACTATAATAGCAATAGCACTTAGACTTATATACACCTTCACGGTGCTTTTACATCCCTCTCTAAGTGGTTTACAGAGTCAGAATATTGCCCCCAACAATCTAGGTCCTCATTTTACCCGAGGATGGAAGGCTGAGTCAACCTTGAGCCTGGTGAGATTCGATCTGCCAAATTGCAGTCAGCCCACAGTCAGCAGTAGTATAGCTTGCAGAACTGCTCTCTAACCACTGTGCTACCATGGCTTATCATAAAGAATTCATGATGTTTGTAATGCACCTGAACAGTCACTAAACAAATGGAAGTAAGTCGAGGACTATCTATACAGCTGGAGTTTTAAAATCTAAATTCAAAATAGGACCAAGGAAAAGGGCACGATCAGAACTCTTTGTTTTGCAATCCAAAATGTGGTTTAAATTTTAAAAGAATAGCTGCTGTTTTCCTGTTCAGAATCCATTCCTGTGGCAGCCTCATATAACTTTTAATCTAATCTAACAAGGGGATTCTCAAAGATCAATGGTGCAAAAATGCAGTCATTTTGGAATCATGGTTTATGCCGGAAATCGTTTTGGAAACTGA